TCGGAGCCACTTAAGTCGCCGTAGAACTGTGAAATTGTCTCGTCAAGGCTGTGACCGCTGTCAATGTAGTCGAGGACGTCTCTCTTATGCGCATACTCTACTGCCCTACGTTGATAGGTCTTCCGCTTCTTTCCTGGTCCATTGATGCGAGGGCGAACCATACTTTTCGACGGCCTTCCGTTTTCTTTGTGGTGTTGGGCTCCGTTCTTTTAGCTTCCGCCGAAGTAAAATTAGAATGAACCTTATCGTAAGTAATGGAGCCATTTGTATTACAATCGAAGGATCCGATTGGTTGGTTCGTTGGTGACCCTTAGGAGTAAACGTCCCCTAGGACTACGATAATTCGGTATTTAGGGTCTATCCCACACATATGTTTAGGGTCTGGATCCAGGTACTTCACTCTTGGATCGCTCATGTAGGATATCATCTCACACTATTCACGTCCTATTGGAGCTTCATCGCGACCGTCTTGACCCCGATTCACTGTATATAGTCCAGATCCACACACGGCCCCGGATCCACTTGATGTCGTCACTAATCTAAAATAATGACTGCTAATAACATCCCATATCCTTTTTCTGAGAAAGCACTTCACCAGAATTACAAGATGCTACCCGAACGCACGCCAGAGGAAGCTAGCGATATGACCTTTCGATGGCAATGAAATGTATGCTGTCCTGAACCGGGACCACCAGTTCAATTGCCAAGTACAGCTTGCGCAGTCAGCATGTAGGTTCTTGTTGACCGAGGACGTGAAGGTGAGCATGCTGAGCCACTACTTATCCGAAGCCGGTACTGCAGCAAACAAGTGGACATGTGGTGGGGCAGCTACCAACGCAGCAATACGGTAATGGAACATATGCTGGAGACGTTTGAAACATACATCATGCCTGCGTAGGCAAAGAAGCTCTTCGCGGCACCCCAAGGACGTCAAACGCAACAGGTCGGAGTACTGCATGTACCTTGTCGCAATATCTGGAGCGCGCGGTGGCGATACCGACTATCTGCTATTAAACAACAGGATCCAGTACGCGTCCGCTGAGTTGCGCACCGTTTTGGTGTCGAAAGTGGACACAATCAGGACGGGCTACCTCCACCAAGCCGAGGAACCGGCGAACTTCGCGTGGACCTGAGAGGTTGATCCGGTCAGCCACCAAAGCCTTGGGAAAGGAATGGTGGAGCGGTTGGTAGAGCGCGTGGCAAAGAAATGTCAAGTGCCATGAATGTGGGCAAGTGAGTCATCTGCGCGCGGTATGCCCGGCTGGCACACCAGGGAGCCGACCGGACATACCGGTGAACAAGAAGCCGGCTGCGGTCGACGAAGTGTGAGTTCTGGACAGTGAGTACAGTAGACATCTAGCCAGCGACAAGGCCTGGTTAGCGAAGTGGAGGTGTGTGTGTGTGCAACCCAACGGTGAGCGGCTGTGCATCAAGAAGAAGGACACTACGACACTAAAGGTCTCGACATCCCGTGCCGTGTGTACCACGCCGAGGCTGTCGTATACAACTTGATATCGTTTGGAAAGTTGGACGAGAACGACAACACGCTGACCCACAAGGGTGGGCGGCACGTCGTCGCGACCAAGAACGGTGGGCATGTAGCTTTACGACGTCGGTGCGAGAAAGAATGCTCTGGTCGTGTTTAGTGCCGTCGACAGGAACTCAGTTTTTGGGGGGGTGCTGTTAAAAATGCAGAGAAATATGATCCGTTCTCCAACCCAAGGCGTGTCTCACCAATCAAGGTACCGATGACGTAAACGCTCTTGCTGGGCGAGATCGTCGTGTCTGGTTTGCCACACACAGTCTACAGGGATCCGCGGACTCGGGTAGACCTGCAAATTTCGGAAAATAAGATTCGGAACGAAGATATCACATCGACAAGAAATTGCGAGCTAGGAGATGCTAAAGGAATTTGACACGGACATGGCGCATCGAGTGTGTATGCCGATCGGGTAGGAGTGAAGTGACGAGAGCGACGTGGCGCAGGAGTAACTGCTGGTCTCTGGTGGTACGGCATTTTAACCGTGAAGAGATTCCAGTCGCTGGTGGGTAGTCTGCTCTGGGTTGGATGCTGCCCGCGGCCACATATAGATATCGCAGTGCCCAAGGTGCTGTGTTGCTTTTCAAGAAGAAATAAAACCGGAAATGACTGCTGTCACTGTCTGGATTAGTGACACTGTGGATTCGAAGTCGACGGAAAGTACCACCAGATTGCACAAGTCGAAGGACTTGTAGAGTGAAGATCTTCCACTACTACCCCCCCCCGTGTTGCCAAGACGCTCAAGCTTCCACTACTTAACCTTTTCGGAAGTTACCGAGAGGTACCGACGGGTACGCAAAATGAGAAACGTTCATCAGATTACGATCATAGGGGGCCCCCTCTATTGGTCGGTGTCTGGGGTACTGGTGGGAAGTTGAATCCAGCAATCTCGCAGATTTTGCTGATCCCGCTACACCACAGTGTGACATCGGACACACGAGCCTACTACCACGGTCTGAAGGCTAGCAAAGCGGGTACTGCGGTATCTCGGGAGCACAAAGCAGCTGAAGTGGCGGATGAATAGGGATAGAGGGTGAGACGAGCCTGTATAGTCTTGTGCTACAGAGACGCGAGCTTTGCTGTCGATAACGGCGAAGTAAAGTCGGGGGTGGGGGGGGTACGGTGGACGGGATGCCGGTGAGCTGGATCTGCAAGAAGCAGAGCGGGGTGTCTTTGTACACGCTGGAGGCAGACGTACACCGCTGCGTCCGACATGGGCCAGGAGTTATAAGGTGCTGAATGTGACGTTGGTGGAACCAACGTCCTGACGAAGTCGTTGCCCTTGATGCCGTGTGGGTTTAGGTAGGCTGCGTTAAGGACGCAAGGTGAAATATGTGACCGAGTCGGCTGAGTGCAGCGTCGACGAGGAGGAGTGTTAGAAGTTGATCTTCAAGCACGAGGTCGTGTTCGATGAGCGGTGGCTGTTACCGAACCTTGGACCTGGCATGTGGTACACACATGGGGGAGAACGTGGGGATGGGGAAGCTTTACGGGGAGTACAGGAATGATAGGAAGAGGAAAGCTTAATATCAATATCCCTTTTGATTTGAAGCCACATTGCAAGATCTACAAAGGTGTCGACCCGAGAGTCAAGAACTTCATCACATTTTACTTTTGTCAAGGCTTCTCAGCAAGGCTCTACTTGTGCTTATGTCAAGTTGGCTGAACTTCCCTCATAATTACAGTTAGCAATTAGCATTCACGCGCTGGCATACGTATAGCGGAGGAGCCACGCATTTTGCAGTTGTGCTCGGTGGGAAGCGCCAGTGTGACGGGGTCACACAGCATCTTGCACAGAGGAAGTGCTTAAGGGTATTTACTACCCGAGAGAGCGCTAGTCCACGTGTTCCCGGCCTCAGTGGGAACGGTTTGCTACTTGAAAGAGGAGACGTAAATGGATGTATTTATAAGTAAGCTAAGATTGGGTTCTTTTCAAACTAGAGGTTGGAACTAAGTATTATAGTCATGCCCTGAGAGCACCTGGTACCGTGTACCAGGTGTCCGCAAGAGTGACGGTCACTCTTTATGTAACATGGGGTACACCCAGTCAAGAAGAAAGCCCCATTCCGGGATTAAACACCTTTTTTCCAACAAAATGCACCCAAAGCCTTATACAAAGGCGGCGAAAACGGTATAGGAAGCTGATACCCAAACGAGAAGTAATAGAGCGATGTATCACTTCGCGCTCCCGAAATGGAAAAGGGGGTGAAGTCATTTTCAGATATCATGAGGTGAATGATACCATATCTGGCATCTGCTTTATCAATCTCTCCTTTAAGAGGGGGGGGGGGGCAAGATTTTTGCGCATCGTATCATCCGTAGTGTTCCATCTAGACAATTTTGTGACCATATTCGGGTCAGCTTAAAATCGAGCCATAGAAAAGCAAGTTCGATGGGTCCGCTCGCTGGTGAACTCGTCGCTGGGCCTGCCTCCGCAACCACCGCGCGGGTTTGATGCGGCCACGCTCAATCGCTTACCAAAATCAAGTCAAAGTTGATCCTTTTTCTAACTGACCCGATTCGATCACGCAGAAGCGACAAAGCAGTTCGTCAGACTCGAGTTTCATGAAGTAATAATTTTATTGCCCGACCTTTCATTGGTAGCGGCGCCTCTTGCTTAATCTCCGTTCTCGAATTCTCTGTCCGCATGTATCCATCAACAGTCAGACTTCTGCAATGCTGGTGCCTGGCGATCATCGTCGCCTTGGCGGCTGCTGTAGATGCAACAGACATGACCCCGGACGAGGTTCAAGAATGGATGCTTACGAACGAGGACTTTGATTGGGAGCAGGACGAGCCAGAGGCTGTCGTAAGTATCGCTGGAAGAGGCGTGCAGGATGCAGACGGGAATTTGTACTTCGCGGGCTCCAAGACTCTTGACAATTCCAACTTCGACCTTCTCAACATTTTTGTGGCACGAATCAACGCCGACGGAACTCTGGGCTGGACCAAAGAGGTACTTTACATGCTCAAAATCTAGAACGTATCCCAGGCAGTCTTCACCTCACTGTCGTTACCGCTTTTTGCAGTGGGGTACGGACCAAGCGGACGCAGCAACATCTATCGCCGTCATCAACGAGACAGATACGGTAACCAGCACCACGAAAGAGTATCTCTATGTTCCAGGATACACGTGGGGCCACCTCGATGAAGGGGGCCACGCTCTTAACGGCTTCGGTCAATACGGCGGTCGAGATGTCGTGCTCGCTAAAGTAACGTTAAGTGGGGACAAGATCTGGATGCGCCAGGTACGTCCATACCGCTGTCAGACCGCCATTTTTACTTACTATATTCTCTATTGCCACAGTTTGGCTCAACTGCAAATGATTTTGCGTATGGGGTGGGACTCGATGACAGCTTCAATACGTTGCTCTTATCTGGTGGGTGTGCAACGAATCAGGTGGACGAGACTGTGGAAGTGGATGTAGCAGCGATTCTAGAGACCAGGAGAAATGCTGGAATGATATCCGACTACGAACCGCAGATCATGGACCCGAAAGCCAGAACGAGTCCACACAACCGAGAGTACGACTTCGCAGTTAGTCTCAATTTCGATGGAGATATTCTAGATTACGCTATGGATGGTGGGGTGACAATCACACCGCGACGAAGAAGAATCAGGGAAGGAGGACTGGTAGCGGAGTATGTCGTGGTTTTAAATCGTCAACCTCTAGCGGATGTGGTGGTACAGGCTCAAGACGTACGTCTACTGGATCCAAGTGGAATTCCTGTTCAACAGCTTCAGTATTTGACACCCCAGCGTGTAGTATTCACACGTGCGAACTGGAACCGCGAACAGTTGATACGGTTAAAAGCGGTAGACGACAATCTAGCTGAGGGTCGTCACTACGCTGTTGTGACTCATTCCGTGACCAGTACGGACCCGAATTTTGATGGCGCTGGCACTCCGTTTCTCGCTGGTCGTAATGTAACCATACAGATCGACGACAATGATCTCGCTGGGATTTCTCTCTCGAGACGACACGTTTTTATCGCTGAAGGTGGCGGTAACGATAGCTACAAAGTTGTACTAACGTCAAGGCCGTGGCATCCCGTGAAGGTTGTGATAAAACCGCTACATGCTAACCAAACGACTGCGACACCCGCTGTACTCAACTTCGAACCCGAAGCCTGGGATAAACCACAACAAGTGCTCGTAAGTGCTGTCGACGACGTCGATTCCGAAGTGGAATATGGAGGTCTGTATACCGGAGGTCCGTTGCTTCACTACTCTGAGAGCAGGGATATCCGATATCACACTCGTCGTCCACAATGTTTTGATGTGCCCAATTGTGATCCATCCGATGCGTCACTTTGTTTATTGCCCCAGAACGAGCTGCAAACTGGCCAAACCTCGATTCGAGTCTGCGATATAACGAGCGAGTGCACTTTTGCACAAGGCAATGGAGCGTGTATCGCTAACGTGGTGAATGGTAATGGCACAATCCCTGCCCGATTCGGGAATCAGCACTTAAACCCTAACAACGGGGTCGGTGTTTCTGAAGATATGAGCTACGAGGATCTCGTAACAGTGTTAGCAGCGGAGAAACGCGACTCGAACTTAACAACTTTATCAGACCAGAACATTTCGATATTGGAATTTGCACCTCCACCTCCTGAACTTCGAGGCTTCGTGTTGAGTTTTCTTGGTCTGATGAACGTTGGGCAGGCTAGGAAAATGAGTGCAAACCCTAGAAATGTCCAACATACGGTCTGTGCTGGTTTAGTACGATTGGAGACAATGCGTTGGGTCTTCGAAGAGTGGCCTAAAGGGTACGTGGACCGCGTTCTCGCCGCCACCTTCGCGATGTTCCCTCAGAGTTACTCTCTTGAGCGGCATTCATGGAATTGTGGCATGGCTAACTTTCTTCCTAATAATGAAATCGCCGTGAGTATCTGGGATAATGATCCTGGTGTTACGCTGTCTACCACAACGCTGGAGGTCACTGAAGGGGATAATATGGGAGCTACATACGATGTCGTTTTGAACGCTCCACCATCGATTGGAGGTCTTGCAACGGTTATTGACTGTGATGATGAAACGCGGACATCGTCGGTTTATTGTACGAAAAAGCAGTCGGACAAGTGTGGGTTTTGGGGTGAAAACTTCTCGACGCTGGCTGCTACAATCTATGATCAAAGCGCGTGGAGGACAAAAAATGGAGTCGAACAACCGAATATTAGCATCGCAATTGTCGGCAACTCGCAGGTGACAATTTCGCCTTCGCTCTTAACCTTCACAGCCACAAATTGGTTCGTTCCTCAGCGTGTCACGGTGCGAGCCGTGGATGATTCTGTGTCGGAACTCAACGTGAGCTATACACTTTCACATCGGATACAGAATTCGGTCTACGGGTACACGAATCAAACCGCGTTTTGGTTCTGGAAGACAAACACACTGGCTACTGCTTTTCATACCAGTTGGAAGACTGAGGGTGGTTCAATTCCTTACAACTCTCTACCGACTGTCCTCCACTCGCCAGATCACGTTCTGGTTAATGTTTTCGTACGGGATAACGACGTCGCTCAGGTCGATGTTGTGGTTAGTCAGCCTAAGTCGAAGCTGGTAACTAAAGAGGCCAGTGATGCAATGAACTGGGTGGGAGACTACGTGACTGCGCTGGCATTTCACGATGTGTCAGTGTCAAAAGCAACAAAAACAGAAGAGTCGTTGAAGAATATTCTCGTATTCGCATCTGAAGTGAAGACTTTTATGAAGTTTCATCTGCCGCGTTTACATGATGGAGACACGTCGCTTCGCTACTCTGGGGCCACTCTACTACTTCACCAGACGCCCTACAAGGTCTTCAATGTGTCCGAGATGAATAGCGACAACTCGACTGGAAGTGGCTCTTCCACTGGTGCCGCGAGTTTCACGAAGGAATATTTACTTAAAGTGACGGCTGTGGACAATGCGTGGACCACGGAGACGATTCGTTCAGGAGCTGCAACGCCCCAACCTCTGTCGTTTGTAGCGAATAGAGCAGCGATAAAGGTTTTAGCCAAGGTGGAGAAAAGTCGCTCGATCGAGGTAGATATTTCCCCACTTGTAGAGAGGATTCTACCCACACGACTATCCGCGCTTTCTCTACAGATTGAGGTGCTTTCGGAAGGCGGAACTACGGACTCGATCGCTACAACTCAACTGTGCTCGTCTGTATTTGAGAGGAAGCTTCGTCCACTTTTGTCTCTGTCGTACGAGTTCCCGAATTTACTACGTGGCTTGACCTCAGCGCAGAGCTCCACTGCGATATCTGCAATAACCAACCAGCCGCTAGAAGCTTCAATTGCCACCAACGGGGCAAAGTACGGTGATTCCATTACTAGTACCGCTCCTGTTGCAACGACTACAAACGAAAGTGACCCGTGGTGGGAGGTGACAATCCCTCAATTAACCAAGCTAGGAACCGTGGCGATTTTTCTATCAGCGTCCGTGGTCGAAGGGAACTCTCGTGGATTTAACCTCGTGGTTATTGCTTCACTGAAGGCGTTTGACTCAAAAGCTCTAACTCTAAGTGAAGCCTTAAGTTATGGCTGTCCAAGTGCTTGTCCCCACGCAGAGCGATTCCCCGTCCGTAAGGGGATTTTACTCTGGGAGGTGCAGGCCGGTGCAGTTGCAGTGCGAATCTACCGAGAAGGGATCGGTATACTACGATTAGCACAAGTGCAAGCGTTTGAATCCTTCATCTCGGTGACAACAACAGCAGACGGAACAGGGATCCGTTCGAGATTGAAGTCGGATTGGGGACCGAGTCCCGCACTGCTACAATCGTGGCATCTGTTGCAGACTGTAAGGAGATCTGAGACCGAAAACTTGGCTGTTGGAATGGCTACAAGACAGAGCAGCACTAATCCGCATCATGCGCTGTCTCACTTGGCTGTAGACGGGCTACGACATTCCATTTGGGACCCTCTCATTCTCCAGAGGGAAGACGATAATTCAATGGCGGCTGCTAGTACAAGAGCTGAAGGAATGGATCCATGGTGGGAAGTGGATCTGGGGAGTATCAATCCTATTCAGGCGGTAGTACTCTATCCATACGTGGGTAGTAATTATGATGAGCTCTGTGCCCCAACATCCACTGGAAAGAACGGGTACCCAGAATGGAGTGGAGATCTCTTTGACTTCAGTCACATGGATTCGCTACTGCAACTTAAGGCGCCATTCGCTCAGCAATTTGACGTGCTTTTATCGGATCAACCGCTAACAAAAAGTGATGGGACAGCGTCAGGAGCTGCAGTCACAGCTAGCAAGACACTGACGTTCTCATGTGCTAACTACACCAACTCGATTATGTGGGGAAACGTATTCTCGAACGCTCGGTTCGTGACTGTACGAAAGCGTGGAGCTGGCGTTTTGATGCTGAACGAGGTGGAAGTTTTACGCTGGAACCCAGCGACACTGTCTCGCTATCTACTGCTGGACTTGTTCGGGACTGGGGGGAAGCCACTTGCCCTCTCTAGTGTGCAGCTATTTCCTCCAAGTGATGTAGCTCCTACCGACTCCGAAACGCTAACAGTCCCAGCTCCGTTGACCTACAAAATCCACAGTGTGAGCTCACAATTCGCCACTACGGGAGCAGGATCGGCTAGCTCGCTCCTGGATGTTAAGGATAATACAGTGTGCTACGTGGCTAGTACGCCATCCTACCACGAGTGGGTCGTCTTGGAGCTTGAGTGGCCTGTGCAGATTGGCCTTGTGGACGTCAACACAAATGTGAGTCAGTGTTCGACTGCAAATGTGGAGGCTGTGACTGAGTTCTCTGTGGCTTCTCATGGCTCTGTACTGGACAATATCCGCAGTGAAGACGCGTCTGGAGCTCTAACAGCTGACGGTTCTTCGACTACTTGTCAGCTAAATGCTGCGGGCGTTGTGACTTCTCCGTCTCCACACTGTACAAATTACGTTTGTACAGATGCAGAGTGTCAATCCCCCGTGCGAGCTAAAAGTTCAGCTGGAAGCAGTTTAGTTCTCAGCGATTTCGTTGATCTCGTGGCACTTGGAAAGCCCCAGCTGTTACCACTGGATCGGCTTCCGCTGTCTGTGAACGAGAACCGCGCTTTGCTCTTACGTGATAACCCGGTAGTAATCTGGCCATTCGATGATGCTCCTAAAGTCCTTGTAAGCAATGATGAAGGTGAGGCCTCGTGGGGAGGCAATAGTCGAGCTACGGGCGCATTAGAGCTGAAAACGTCGTCGTCTTTGGTGGATTTGGAGTCTGATGATAACATGGAAGGCACTTTCTTCTCAGCTGCAGTCGCAGTTCAGCCAGCTATGAGCTCGTTCTCACTGGAATTCTGGTTTCTTCCCAAAGGCAGCCTCCCTGTTAACGTTGTTAGCATGTATGGCAAAGATGCAACTGGGAATCAAGTGAAGTTTGGGAATGTTGGAGTGAGCAGTAGAACAGGGAGATTTTACTTTGAAATGACCAACCCGGACGACAGAATGGTCTGTAGAACCGATCTTGGTGCAGATTCTATTGTACTGCCCTTTGCGGAGACCTGGCATCAAGTTGTAGCCATCTACGACCCGAGTTCATCCAGTATTTCTCTCTCCATTTGCGTCTCGGGAGGGCTACAAATTGCAAACTGCTATACAAACACGACCTTGTGCAGCATGGCTCTACTCAGTTTAAAACAAAAGAAATTTCGTCTCGGAGCTGCGGATTCGGATGTTGGTTTTGTGGGGATGATTGCGAGTGCTTCTTGGTTCGTTCGAGCCTTGACAGGTACAGAGATTATGGATCATTATCACGATTTTCTCGACGGCGTGTCGACCGAAGCCACTGCAGCTCACAACACTTACTCGATCCAGTTATCAGCCAGACCTTTGCAACCTGTAACGGTTAAGATCAGCGCCGAGAGTGCTTGTTACCGCTTTAACTTATGTAACATATCGGTTGTTCCATCGATGCTAAAATTCACGACGGAGAAATGGAAATTCCCTCGATTGGTACACGTTCTCGCTACGGATGACCAACTCTTCGAAGGTTTGCACTACTCGGATATTTTCCATGCAGCGTCGAGTCCACCACTGTATCAACTCACTTCGATAGCGTCTACATCTAGTGTGAACAGTATTACTGATGCAGAAGAGCTTCTGCAGAATCTTACGAAGTCTGTTACGGAGTTTTATCGCGATCTCGTAGTTCGCAAGGTGTTCGGGAACTCTAGCGAACAATTGTTACGCCAAGACGCTTTAATGGAGCTCCACCGTAGCTGGGCCAAGCAAATTGTACACAACGTCGCAGTGGCGGCCAACGCGTACGCTGAGACGATCCCAATCATGCCTTTAATGGTGTCGATCGCAGATTTAACGGTGCCGGGTATTGAGTTCTCGACGGCGTCGCTAAGTGTATCAGAGGACGGGAAAGGTAACGACTATCAAGTGGTGCTGCTGTCAGAGCCAACCGAGGAAGTCCGTGTGAAGCTTCATGTTGCATCAGGATGTTACCGTCGATGTGTGGGGGAACCTTTGTGTCCTTCGCGTTCGGTGGAGCAAACCGATGGGAAATATGTAGCATCTGGGGAGGATTCATTCTTGACTTGTGGGGGTGATACGGAGAGTATGAGTACGAGTACGCTACTGTGTAACATCACGCTCTCTCCTGACATTTTGATATTTTCGACGAGTGACTGGAGCTTGCCGAAGACTGTGAGAGTTCTTGCAGTTGACGATCATCTAGACGAACAAGACGTGCATGTTACAATTATCCGGGCTTCATCTGAAAGTCTAGATCCGATCTACGACGCTCTGGTGCTTCCAGATGTCGTCGTGGCCATCGCAGACAATGACAAGACGAATATTTTCTACTCCTCCAACCTGGTTTCGCTATCTGAGAAGCCTCTAGCCGTTTCTACGCTCAAATATCCACACGCAGACTATTACACACTTCAGCTTCTTACGGAGCCCTATGCGAATGTTACAATAGCGATGAGTAACGAGGCCAACAAGTCCTGCTATCGACGATGTGGCTCCCCATTCGACGAGACTTCGTGTGGTCTACCTCGTCAACAAAGTGTCAGCCTCGTACATCTACGCACAAATTCAACACGCGAGATTCACCAAATCTCCTTGCGCATGACAAAAACCACAGAAGTGCAGCGAATTGTGACTTTTGCGAGCCATGTGGACCAGATCTTCCAGCTCTCGGTGTCCGGTGGCTTTGGTTTGGAGATACAAACTCTCGTTTTTACGTTTAATGCCGCATTTAAATCGCGTTTTGCGTCTGCGGATGCCGTAACAGCCGCAACAAATTACGGTGGTACATTTACTATCTCAAACGGAGGTGCGAGCACTTCTGCTCTGGATTTGTTTTCGACAGCGGTACAAGTGCAAGCAGCGATAAATGGGTTATTTGGTGGGGCAAATGCTGTAAGTGTGACGAGAGACATTCAGTATGCAGCGTCGACTTTAACGTGGTGTGTCACATTCCTTCGGTTCGTAACTTCGGATGGTGCTTTCCCTCTGTTATCTGTAGCGGTGAATGGAGCGATTCAAGGTGAACTCACTTGTCAACGTAAACGAGCGAGCAGCTTTCCTACCGGAACATTAAGACTTGGCTATGGCTCTGCTACCTTTCAAGTTCCGATCCTGCCAACGGCATCTGCTCTGCAAACCACGCTAAGCTCGCAATCTGGGATTTATTCCGTGTCAGTTTCTAGAAGACTGTTGAGTATTGGCGGCTACGGGTTCGAGTACATCGTGACCTTCATGAGTGTGGAAACCTTCTCTAATCTGGTCGTCGTCTCTGTTTCCAGCGTTGTGGCGTCCGTGGATGCTACGACACAATTGGCCACTGCTGTGAATATGACCCAGTCACCGATGCTGATCGGTGGGTCTTTTGTGATTGACTTTTTCACCCCACTCAACTTAACCTCTGCAAAGCCCAACCGTACGGCTCCAATTTTCTGGAATGACTCGGCGGAAGCCCTTGCGTCCAAGCTCGTGCAACTTCAGGGCATTGCAAATGTTACGGTATCTCGCCAAAAGCTATCGGCAGAAGGAGGAATGGCGTGGACTGTTCAGTTTCTTGAAAATTACGGTAATATACCGAGTATGATTGTTACGTCGCTTAATCTAACTGGAAAGGGAGTCACCGTCGGTGTGAACACTATTCGTGATGGCGAGTCTTTGCGGGGAAACTTTTCCGTTCAAATGGGAGGCTGGTTCAAGAAGACAGACCCACGTACAAATCGCGCCTACATGATGAACATTCCGGTGAAAAATACGACCCTGTTGCCGTTTAATTCACCCGCGTGGAGGCTAAAAAAGGCGCTTTTTGCCCTGAATGTCACGGAAGTAACAAATGTTACACGAACTGGCGTTGATTGTGATATCTTCGATGTTTGTTACGGATATACGTGGACAGTAAGCTACCTAAATAGTCCTGGAAATGTGCCTCCAATTGCAGCTTTTCCAGACGAAATAATGCGCCAGGCGTCTGGTATGACTATGACGTCCAGCACTATCGCTAACGGGACATATCTCGGTGGCAGCTTCACGTTACGACTGGAATTGTTCGACCCAGAGACTAATCAGACGTACGTTGGTACGACATGGAGATTGCCCGTGAATGTTAGCGCTGTTGGGATGGACGAAGCACTGGAAGCTCTGCCCTTCGTGCGCTCGAACCGTGAAGCGGAGTACGATCCAGAGACGAAAATATGGCGAGGAATAAAGTTTGATAAAGGTGTGCGTGTGTATCGGGAGGGTCCTTATCTAGACGGAGGGCATACGTGGAGGTTGGAGTGGGCTTTGGAGGACTATCTGCGCTTTGCAGACTTGAAAATAACGATGGATGTGTCGCTCGTAACGCAGGAGATTAAGCCATTGCCAGTTCCATCGGAGCTTGATCTTCAAGGCAAACCGAGATGTTCAGCGATCCCCAGAGCTCAATTTCAGCCGGATGTTACGGATCCTTTGGGTTTGCGTGGTTTCTGTGTGTATGCTATTGCGAATGAGACGGCGCAGGAACGCTTCCTCTGCAACTTCACTGTGCTAAATCCATGGATCGTCTTCACTCCAGAGAACTGGTGCATCCCACAACAAGTTCAGCTCGAAGCGGTGGACGACTATATCGATGAATCCACCAAGGCAAACGGTCTAGTGACGTTCTCTAAAGTGACACATACAGTCTTTAGTGACGACTACATCTACTTGGCTCTTCCTCTGCCCAAGGTGGCGGTTCAAGTTGAAAGTGACGACGTCGCAAAGGTGCTTGTGTCCGAGACGGCCCTTCAGGTCAGCGAGGACGGGATTCAAACAGCCCAATACTATTTGCAACTCAACTCGGAGCCTCTAGCCGACGTGAAGATTGTCGTTCTACCTTGGCTGGACGGTAACAATACGCAGTGTTACCGGTTCGGACTGTGTAACATTACTCTCCCAGTTAGCGAGTTCGTCTTCACCCCTCGAAAGTGGAATGTTCCCCAGAAAGTAGCGGTGCTTGCTACAGACGACAGCTTGGACGAGTACGACACACATCTGACTGGAATTTCCCATGTATCGTACAGTGACGACCCAAAGTACAACGAGATCCCTACGATTCCTAAGGTGAATGTGACAGTCCTCGACAACGACGTGTCAGGGTTCACTGTGGACAAGGCAAGTGTATTCGTCACGGAAGGTCTTCTTGGAGCTGTTGACTTCTACACAGTCGTGTTAACCTCCGAGCCGTTCGCAAAAGTTACTGTGGCTATCACCAATGTTGGAATTGTGGGGGATTTCGCCGTTCCCAGCCCCACAAAGCTCGTCTTCTCGTGGCGTAACTGGAACATCCCACAGACTGTGAACGTCACGGCATTTGACGATCGCACCCAGGACGTCGCTGGGTCTACAAGCTCACTTAACCACTCGTTAACTACAAATGATATCATTTACGCTGGTTTGAAAAACCTGGCGTCAGTTAAGGTGTTCATAACAGATAACGACAAGTCAGGGATCGAGTTATCAACAAGGGAGCTGCGTGCAGTAGAGAGCAACAATACTGTGCTCTGGTACAGTGTTCGACTCACCTCGGAGCCCTGGGAGCCTGTGGTTGTCCAACCGAACGCCAGTCATGACTGCTACCTACGTGTTCAAAGCTCCGAGCGTGTTTGTAACATCAGTCTGTTGACAACCGAGTTGTACTTCGGAGAAAGTAACTGGAGCAAGTGGCACAATGTCTCTCTTATTGCAGTGGATGACTGGCTCGACGAGGGAAACGTCCACACTGCTCGAATTTCCCACTCGTCGTCAAGTTCCGATCCCTTGTACAGTGCTGACTACGCAACAAGTGAGGACGTCAAGCTGTTCATAACCGATAACGACGTTTCTTTCGTGAATATCACGCTCAGAAGCGCCACCAAACAACTGCACGCTGCGGAAGGAAGTTTCAACGATTCCTACAGCATTTTCCTGAACTCGGAGCCGTACGAATACGTGACTGTAACATTGCGTCCGACCATTGAAAAGTTCGTTAGTCACGACACCAAAAGTGTTTTCACTCAGCCTCAAGTTGGTATTTCCTTCGGTTCGTCGTCGTCTTCGGGCATGACGCTGCTGAGTACGGAGACTATCCGAAGCGTTCCACTGATTTTCACTCCTTTGGATTGGTCACGACCAAGAATTGTTACAGTATTCGCTATCGACGACGCAATTCCTGAACCCGCAACTCAGTACTCGACCGTTCTCCACTCAGTCTCCAGTGCAGATTCTGGTTATAACATCTCCAATAGCTCCATTGGTGTCGTCAGTGTATCGGTTATGGTTAACGACAGGGAAGCAATTCCCCCGCCTCTGCCATTATCTGCAATGCTCGACAATTCAGGCTCGAAGATCAACATTGCGTTCGACTCAACTGTCTATCATGCCGCTTCCATGGACGTAAGCTCCTCTGGGTCGTACGTTATTCGAGTCAAGACATTTCCGTGCAGTCTCGTGTTTAACTTCGCTGCTGTAAAGTACACACTCGGCTCCCAGGCGCAATGTTTGTGGGTCGATATGAAGAATTTACGTATCGAGCTGAGTGCTGGAGCGACCATAACAGCAAGGGATAAGCTGATTCTCAACGATTGCAGCTCGTTCGCAGACCAATACTGCAACGCCACGAACGTGCTTCGAGCAGGTCCGTCAAGTCGAGCTTTCTCGCAAGCCAGTGTTCTTCTCCAGGTTCCGACGAGTATCGTTCAGCCAAATCCAGTTCTCTTGGTACCTGAAAGCGCTGGTAGTTGCGGCTCCTGGTCTGTAGATGCCTCGCTTTCGACTGGAGCTGGTGGCCGTCCGTTCGCACACTTGCTATGGTTTGCACTTCCAGTATCAGCGTTCCCCAGTTCGATCGACAACGCTAGTCCTGAAGCGGGTCTAGCGTTGTATCAGAGACTAGATTTCGGTCTAAATCTACTCTGTCAGAAGCACAAAACCGACTGGACTACTGGCGTGTCTAGCATCCCGGTGGTTCCAGCTGCAGACGTCGCACTAGCTATGGCAGCTAACAGCAACGCAACGTCGGACTTCTCGACGCTTTCCACTATGGCGCAACTCCGATCAACATGTTACCTGCGATCCATCACTCATAATGCCACGACAGCAAGCGCATTAATTGTTCAAGTGAACGGATCTCTGTTAGAACCAGGCGCGGGATATCGGATCGGTTTAAAACTGGTGAACGCCTTCGCCCAGTCCACCGTCGTCTCAAAAGCCGTCAACGTCCAGGGTTTACCAGGTCCAGCTGTGTTTATCGTCGGCGAATCGACCCAAACCGTGACGAGGGTTGGTGCTCCTATCGTATTGCAAGTGGACTCTACTGTTAGCTGCCCTACATTGTCGAGCTTGGATGTCGCTTATCGATGGACAGTAACCAGTAAAAGAAGTGAAAGCGGCGCAGTGACCACCGAGGATTTCAATAAGGAGAATTCAGCTCGAGACCCGCGAGTCTTTCGCTTACCGCGTCCATCGCTACAAGCTGGTCTAACGTACACGTTCCGAGCCGAAGCGTACATGAAAGGAGCGTCAGCTAGCCAGGCGTCGAGCAGCTTCGCGTCTATCGTGGTGTTTGTCGCCAGTAGCCTACCCCAAGTCTCTATCAAAGGCGGTGACTGTGCGCTGGGCGAACGCGACACATTAGTGCTCGATGGCTCGACAACTTCTGACCCAGACGCTTCCAGCTCACCTTTCACGTATCTGTGGACGTGTCAGGATGTGACCAACTCGTCCACTGTAGGCTCCTGTATGAACGCGTCGGTCTGCCCTTCTGTTCCTTTGGCTTTAACCTCGACGAAATCTGTGCTACGAATCGCACCGCTCAATCTAGCTTCAAACCGCCAGCTCAAGTTCTCGTTAACTGCGTCCAAAGGTTCACGTACCGCAACAGCTTTTAGTACAATTTGGACTGTGGCTGGTCGCCTCCCCGTCGTTCTCGTCACTGCTTCAGCCACGAAGATGAATCCTTCCAGTCGTCTGACACTTACGAGTACCGTGACTTCGGACTATCCGTACACCACGAGATGGACGCAAACTATTGGAGATCTCGAGCTTCCTCGTGCAGATGTAAGCGATATGTTCACACTGCCTCTAACCAGCACCAACAACGCCATTCGCAGCTTCAAATTAGCTGCAGGACTCACGTACAATTTCCGTCTTGTGGCGACCGACACGGTAGGAAATGTGGGCTTTGGATCCGTCTCGGTGGTCGTCAACTCGCCGCCTGCTTCGGGGACTTTCGTTGTGAGTCCGCAATCCGGTTACGCCATGCAGGATACGTTTACGTTGACGTGTTCGTTGTGGAGTGACGATGCAGACGATTTTCCCCTCACGTACTCGTTTGGCGTGCTCTCCACTGCACATTTTGAGATGATTGAGGAGAATTCGACAGATTCCAACACTTTAATGGCTCAATTACGGAAATCCATGACGCCTATCGTGGTGAACCAACTCACACCGCTCGCGACCGCAAAGATGTTCGCTCCTGAAGATATGGCGGATAGCGAGAGCGTGACAGTCTTGGCGTTCATTAGTGATCGTCTCGGTGCCGTAGCACTCGCGTTTGATACGATCAAGGTGTTGTTACCTGAAGCAGCAAAGTCGTCGCCTGTACTTTACGTTTCCGACATGTTTGATGCTAACGGGGCTCTTAAATCCAGTGCTGGTAAATCGCAGGATGTACGTCAAGTCTTGGCAGGAGCTTTATTGATGGAAAAGGCTCTCGGTTCGTCAGTAAAATCACGTCGTCTTGCTAGTTGTCCGGGTGGATACATGGGAGACGATTGCGCTACGGAGATTGCTGTCGTGCAGAGAGTGAATGCTGCGATCTTGGCTACAGTGTCAAATGCAGTAGGTTCTGTAGAACCTAGTAGCTCGGGGCTTAGCCAACAAGCTCGAGTGCTTGGGTCTGTTATGCGAGCCGCACCGCAGGTGTTGACGGAAGCGCAGATTGGTCTTGTGACTGAGCTCTGCAGTGGAATTGCAGGTAGCGCTCTAACGCTAGACGTCCCAGATGAATTTCTAGACACGACAAGTGCTACATTGCTAGAGGTCATTTCTCTTCTCCTCCGACTTGAGAGCTCTAGCACTGAGGTGACCTCCCGTCGGCTGGTCGAATCAGACGCAGCCAATTCCACGTGCATTGACACTACCAGTGCCGGAGAGAAGAGCAACTGGGATAATATGGTGCGCACGCTTCAATCACTCGCAGTACTGAGCAGTGACGACTTGCTGGTTGATGAACCTCCTGCTGTTCTTGAAGGTGGCGATGTACGCACGTATTCAGCTAAAGGCTCGAGCTTCCGAGATCAAGTATCGATGACGCTTACGTCCACCGCAGTGGCGTGTCTGGGCTCGGATCTGTACTTGAATGCCTTGTCGCTCGTCAACACTCCACACTCTGCCTGCACTCTCAACGGCTCGGAGCCAGTTTCGAGACGAACTTTGTTCTCAGTACACTCGCAAGCTGCTGTGGAAAAGGCTGCCAGAGTAACGACGTACGCTTCCAATACTGGAGTTCAAATGCAGACTCTACCGAGTACAAGCGCCTGTGTTAAAGCTGCTTCCGAGTCAACGCGTCGTCTGGAATCCGATGCTACCGAGGCGGAGCAGTGGATGCCACTGGCTGCTCTCACTATTCCTCATGAACGTGAACTATCAGCTATTGAAAGGAGCAATTTCTCCACATCTTGTCGTACATGGAGCGCCGAGGCTTCGAGTTGGTCTGTGGACGTGTGTTTCAAGGATGATAGCGCCAGTACCAGCGAGTTCACCGTGTGTTACTGCACGCAGATCGAGTCTTCTCTCGAAATTTTAGTGACGCTAGACGAACGTTTGGACTTCTACGCTCTACATCGGGATCTGTACCGGAACGATGAGCCTTCTCTCGTTGTCAGCGCAACTTTGGCTGTTCTTGTTGGGGTCTTTGTTATGGTCGCAAAACTCGGTCAGCGACTTGATGCACGAGATGTTAAGCGCGACAAGCAACTGACAATCAAGAGACTTAATCGCGCCAAGTGGAGCGAACTGGAAGCGCGAATGCAGGTCAATAACGTGTTCGAGGACTTTGACGCTCACTACGTCGCCCAGCAGCAGCAAAAACGACTGGAAACCCGTCCTTCTGAGGCCTCAACAGCAGTCACGGATGTAGGGGAGTCGTCAGCGTTGTTCGCTTCGTCCGTGCGTGGAGTCCACGTGAACGGCATAGCAATAGAACCCTTGAACGAACCACTAGATACGAACATCCAGCTCCCCGATGAAGCTCGCACTTTATTCGGGTCATCTACCCTCGTGGATCGACAGTATCGACGCGTAACGTTCCTCTTCCGAGTGAGCAATCTGCTGCTAGTTATCCTGGGAATTGTACTGCTAATTGCTGGAATCGAGGTGCAGTTTGTACTGGGGCGAACTCCCGCTGAACTTGTGCTGTACTTGTACGGCGGACCGCTGGGATTTACGCTCATGATTGGCGGTGCAGTGTTGATAGCATCGGGTATCGCAGGCGTTCTTCTTGCACGACGAGACGCTTCAAACGCGGCTCGAACGGCGTACTTGACAGCGTTGGGTCTTGGCTTGTTGGCTCAATTCCTGGTTGTGATGTTCGCCTTTCATTTGCTCAGCAACTTTGACGCCATGCCGCACGGTGTAGCACTTGCACTACGCTCGAAATGGGACGCGTTGTCCGTCGATTCCCAGACTCAGCTCCAAGTATCCTATGCGTGTTGTGGGTTTCTATCCATCAATGAGGAAGAGTCTTGTCCAGAAGAAGCGCTAGATGCTGTGGCCTCTCGAACGTGCTCGGTAGTCCTCGGAGCCCAGGCGTCCACTTTGTTCTCCAGCTCGTTCAAGTACGTCGAAATTGTGCTGGTCGTGGAGATTGCATGTGTCGCACTAGCCAATTTTCTCGTTCGGTGGCGTCGAATTCGACTGGTCCAACTTGCTAGCAGTAATTCCGCTGATAGTGCTGAGGCGACTATCGTTCGCTCCTTGGTATCAGCTGCACTTCTGTGCTCACTGCCTCCGCTGTACGCGTTGCTAGCCTGTGCTGCCGTGGGTGGAGTTCTCTTTGGAGTTGATTTGATGCTACACTGGGGAGCATTGGAGGATCCACTTGTATCTGCGTTGTTTGGAGTTGAAACCGGAGTTTTCATCCTTGCTGGAGCTGTGGTGTACCTGGTTATTACGCTCTGGGCACTAAGAGCCCTGGGTAGACGAGATGTACGAGCTCTTCGCTGGGTTCTGGGATCATCGTTGGTATTTTTACTGCTCAATTTAGCAGTGCGAGCGTACATTGGGCGCCTTCTTGCAGACTTTTACTTGGACCCGTCGATCCTTGAAGCAATTGAGGCGAAGTATGTGAAATTGTCACACTCAACATTGCTAGATTTGGAGATGGAATTGGAGTGTTGTGGCTTCACCAGTGGCGCACAAGGGGCCTGTGTGGAAGGTTCGTCCGATGCGGATATACCTATTTGTCGCGAGCAAGTGGAGAGTGCTTTGACGCGGTCGTTAGCTCTCGCAACGGATCGTCTCGCGGGTTTCCTATTGGCTCAGACGGTCGTATTCGTTCTCTTGGCTTGGCTGTGCTTCCGACTTCGACGATTTTCTAGTGTGGCTGCAATTCGATCAACACCAGTCGGCGAAGCTGCTTGTGATCCACCAACGCTATCTCAGAAGGTGTGTGCCAGTGGATTATTGGTACTGAATTTGGGAGCTGTAGCGGCGGGGGTTGGAATCTTGTGTCTAGGCATTGACGTCCTCTTCGAGCTCAACGTGCTGCAAATGTCGTACCTGTTACGCGTATATGATCGTCGTCTTGGCGTTTATTTGCTCTTCTTTGGAGGTACGATGGAGATATTTGCCTTGCTTGGCGGTATTGTAGCGTGGCTTGGCGCGCAAGGAACAAACACGCAACCATCACGAATGAGATGGACTAGAAAATGGCTGGCGATATGCTACTCGCTCGCATGTGCCGTGCTGTTCGTCGCTGCGTTCATATTTGCTGGCGTGAGGCACAAGCTCTCGTCTCAGTATACACCAATCACTGACGCTACTGTCGAAACCGAAGCCATTGATACACGGATGACAGATCTCTGGATCTCTGCTCCATCAAATACGAAGTTGTTCGTGCAGAACTCGCTTCAGTGTTGTGGTTATGAGCGCATTGAAGCTGCTAATGGTTCAGTGTCGTACACTCTACAAGTCGAGAAATTCGGGTGGCGGCGCCTCGCATCGACGGCCACGTATCAGGTGTACAGCTCGCGAAATGCGTTGGACTCCCGAAAGACACGTATACTCACTGACACGAAGGCCGAGTCGACACGGTTGAGCAGCCATCAATGCCCCACGAATGCCTCGGACGGATGTGCTGCGCCAATGAAGCAGTATGTCTCTCGTGTGGCACGAAGCGCCTGGCAGTTATGCGCTGGTGTAGCTGGCTTTACTGTCACAGCTTTAGTCTGCGCTTGCGGCTTACAGGACACCAATCAACGTGAGAGGAATTGGAATCCTCACTGGAGACTTCGCGTTAAACGGACAGTATTTCTGGTGCTTGTTCTAGCTGGAATATTATCCACGTTAGCATGTTTTATCCTTGGCTTGGATGTGGCCGTTGGGTGGACACTTTTCAGCTCTAGCGCCTTCCAAATGGTGTTCGCTCGATCCATGGGTGCGTCCTTGATGGTGTACGGAGTGCTCGCTGTATGCACTCAAGTGTACTCGTCTCGAGCAGCTCTTCACTTCAGTGTCCATCAACTGTTCTTGCAATGTGCAACTCGAATCGTACTTGCCTCGGCACTGTTTGCAGCTGTAGGACTCACAGCTCACCTTTCGCACTACTCGTCGCTGTCAGAGGAGAGCTGGCATGCCCAACTCGAAAGTTTCCTGGATGGCCAATGGAGTCTTCTGACACCAGTGACGCAGAATACGATAGCTCTTGAGTTCTCGTGCTGTGGTTTTAATGATCCCATGCTTGTGCCCGGCCAAGGTGTCGTGTTCGACCGGCCAGCACTCGGATACCCAGCATGTTCACTGTCGATCTCTCGTGGTTGCAAAGGCCCCCTTATGACGGGAGTGGAGTCGTCTTTTGCCTGGTTGTTTGCGTTCCTTCTAGCGTTAGCGCTCTTGGAAATTGCGTGTATGGTGCTGGGTGCTCTCGTACTACACGACGTCCGCAACTACGAAGCAGAGGCCTGGTTCCATCTCGAGAGTAGACTACGTTACGTGGCAGGTCGCTTCCGGCGCGATTTCCGTCAACAGCATGTGTTGATTTCAGTCGGTGCAAGGTTTGACCCTCGTCTTACTCGAACACAACGAGCTGTTAGTGTGCTTTGTGCGTGGGCTGCGTCACTCGCAGTGTATGCGGGTTATTTTGCCACAAAAGGCTGCTACAGGACCTCACTTAAGTCGTGCGAACAACCTGGTGTAGGCGAGTTGATCGGCCTCGGTCTTGTTTACGGTGGGGCGGTCGGACTCGCAGTGCAAACGTGTGCCGTCGCGTTATTTGAACACGTTCGACACCGAGCAGACGACGAGACCAAGGAAGTCGCCACCGCTCGACAACGAAAGGAGAAAGTGCTGTTGTTCCGTAGACCTTGGTTTCGACGTCGACGTCCAGAGGATCAGGAGCTCTCCAAAACTACGGAACAATCTGCACTTACCCATGACGCGTCTACGCTTGAAGGAACGCAGACCACGACCGAGGAACGCTGGTTCGTGTGGCTTACACGCTTTGTGGCGTTGGTATTCCAGACTTGCGGCGTGGCCTTGTTCCTAGGAGGTTGTGCACTAGCCACTCTGCTTGGACTCCTTCGCTTAGGTTACAATAATTCTCTGTACGGAGTTCCGCTGGATGAGGATGTCTTTGAGCTGCTTGCAGTTGCTGGAGCTCTTATCGTCGTCGCGTTGGTCGCAGCACTAGCGAACGATCTCCGGGATCAGCATCTGAAGCGATCGAATCGCCGAAAAGCGACTCCAGTCATTGTGGTACTCGTAATCGTAGCGATCATTGCTGTGCTGGCGCTTATAGCTGGGCTCTTGGCTGTCTTCATGATCCACGAGGTGGTTCAAGATGATGCCAATGCGTTGAATAGTTGGAGTGTTCGTACGACAGGCTTCAGTGTCGTGGAACGGCTCGAGACTGCGTGGAAAGAAGAGCTGACGGGCTACGCCAGAGACTCCGTTCAGCAGGAGCTACGTTGTTGTGGGTTTTGGAGCGCTACAGACGCACCGTTTTTGCCGTGTCCTCACGGAGATCCAGTAGAAGTCACTTATGAAGCTTTGAGTGTGAGTGGCGCGATCGTGACGGAAACAAAGCACGAGTTTACGACGTTGCCGGGATGTCGCGCTGGGATGCTTGCTCGCTTCCATAATGGAGCGGATGTGGCGACATACTGCGCGTTGGCGGCGGCAGGACTTTTGATCCTGACGGTAGTCACCTCGCTCTTCCTGACTCACGAGTTAGCTATCTCCAAAGACGCCAAACTCAAGCTGCGAGTACCAGATACCGAAGACGAGGTCAAGCGAGACGTGAGAGAGACGTTTGAGACTGTGGTCGGGCTTAAGATCGCGGCTCCGGCTCGTGGCAAACTGCGCTCTCAAATACTGGCTTCAAGTCTGGACAGTGTTTCACCCTCCGTGGCTAGCGAGTTGGCAGCAGTACCGTTGAAGCATGAAGAGATGGTGATCTCCAGTACTCCTGCGGGCCAAGAAGACTTCGTCGCGGCGAAGATTGAGCCCAGTGTCGATGTTGGTGAGGACAGTTCCACCGTTCCGTACCCAGCATGGATTGTGTATGTGGTGTTTGCGATGTGTCTGGCGTGGCTAGCGACCATGGCGTATTTGGTGGCGATAAGTGCGATGGAGCTTGGATTGGCTACTTCTTGGCGCTGCGTTCTTGCCTGGGCGACTGGTGTAGCCATCCAGGAGCTGATAGTGGAGCCTATTGTGATACTCGCATCCATCGTTGCTCGTACACTGCGTGACTGGTGGTCTCACACTTTAGTTGCGAGAGTCATCCGACGTGGGCGTGCCTTGCTGCGTATTGGTCCGCAAGACGCCGAAGCCTTGGAACGTGAGCAACTAGGCGACTCTTTGACTCTGTACGATCGCCTTCGCTACGCTGCTGCTGTTCGGATCCAGCGTCGTTTGCTCACTCGAGTCACCCGAGCACGATACCTGCGTCAACTACGAGCTCACAAGCAGGATCAGCACCGGTTACTGGCTGTTACTGGCTGTCCAGAGACGCGATACATTGCGCAAGACGATACACAACTTCAGCGAAGAAGAGATCGAAGCCTTCAGGTTGTTGTTCGCGGCGGCGGATGCAGCTCAGCTCGGCTTGGTCTCCCACACTGCCATCGCCCAGGCCGTGTACGAGTTGGGCGTCCATGTACCCGCCCCAAAAGTCCGCGAGCTGCTTGAAGCGTTCGATCCAGCGTATGCAGACCTCGTGGACTTTGAGCATTTCCTGTACGGCATGCACTGTGTCCGCCTGTACCATCAGCAGCTGCAGACTCCGCCCACAGAAGCTACCGAGCAGCCAGCGAAGGCTAAAGCCAAAGACGAGAAGTTGGTGAGCTCGTCGGATCGATTCGGGCCGCGCGCAGATCCACGAGCGGAATTGTTGGTCAAGCGCCAAAATCTGCTACGAGAGCTGCGAGATCGTCGCGAGTCGCTCGCACACAAACTGATGCGGAAGGTAAGTGGGCGGTTGCCGGCATTAGCGCACCGCGGTAAGAGTGTAAGAACTGCGTCGATCGAAGAGGGTGACGAAGCGTTATCAGAAGAAAAAGAAGAAGCTGCTGCCAGTGAGAACTCGGTGCCTCCGACGGGCACCTACGTGTTCTGGCAGAACCGGAAGTTGTCTCCAAAGAAGCGCGCTCTCGAGTCAGCCCTAAAGAAGAAGCACCAAGAGCGAATACGCCAGCACAAAGCCGATAACGACGATGTTCACACGACTGCAAGAGCTGCGGTGACACTTGACGCACCGCCTGAACCAAAGACGTCGGCGAAACAAGCACTCAAGAGCTTGGCTAGCAAAAAAATCACAGCGTCTCGAGGAAGCACAGCTGAAGCTAAATCGGACACGGCAACGACACCTTCACAACCACGCACTGAACTACCCACCCCCGCTGTAGTAGCAGGCTCTAGCAGCGAAGGCGAAGCAAAGCTTTCAGTCGAGACGCTCTCAAAAGGAACTGAAGACAAGGAGAAGGTGACGCCAGTCGACCTTGAACCGAGTAGCAGTGGTGACGAGAGCAGAGCAGCAACAGCAGCGTCCGATTGCCCAGCTGAGACCAAATCGAGTGAACCTGTTGTAAAGTCAGAGGAGGCCAAGCCCTTCGGTGCCTACATGTTGCTCACCAAGCAGCCGCCGCCACTCCGCCCTCAGAAGGTTCCGACAAGACATACTGATGAACCAGGTGCCGACAGCGACGCTGTATCCCGTCCCACGACGGCGGAGAAGACCAAAACTGACGCCCAAAGCGCGCTGGAGAAGGCGCTGCTCAAGAAGCAGAAGGCCAAGTCGAAACCCAAGTTGTAAGTAAGTAAGTGTTCAAGTTGCTGACGCACCCAACACCGGGATACTTTTTCAAATTTCTCAAATTCTTACAAACCGTCAGTTTCCAAAATCCCAAAATTCCGAATCAGCTGAGCATAATGATCATCACTCTTTTGCCGTCATTTTTCCGCTATCGATGCGCCGCGATGGAGTCCGCCCCAGTGGACGACGGCCTCGTGTTCCTTCCGCAGGCGTCCTCGGGCCTGGAGCTGCTGTGTGTGGCCCTGTATCTGTCGCTGGCGCTCGTGGCCGCCTGCCGTGCGCTGTCGCAGGGCTCGACGTTCCATCGCAGCCAACGCAGCACCTTCCAGCGCCTCATGGTGCTGTTTGCCGTGACTCGCGCCGCATCCTTCGTAAGCGAAGGCTTAGCCCGTAATCTACTGAATCGTGCGGCTCTGTGTCTGTTCTTCAGTCTCGTACTCTTCCAGACGCTGCTATGGATCGATATCGCCAATCCCAAAGTCTCGACGCGCTCTCGACGCATCTGGATCGCGTTCGTAGTGGCCAACGGGCTCTTCTATGCCGCTGTCTTGGGTCTCTCGGTGATGCACGAGGCCAAAGTGGCCCAGGCCCGACACTCCAAGTCCAGACTAAACCGATCCACGCTCTGGACGGGCGTGCTGCCCGTGCTCTTCATCGCCACGGGCAGCTTCGTCAGCTCTTTGGGGCTCGTTTACTCGACGTGGAAGATGCGGCATCGAGTGGAGAGAGTGCTGAAGCCGTCGGGAAACGGACTGAGGAGGAGGCTGGATGAACGCGTGGAGAAGAAGCTCACGAGCGCACTGAGGTTCACGAGTGTTGTCATGGGGGCGTGCTCGGTCTTGTTTTTCTTGCGGACGATCATCTACGTCCAGAGACCGTTTTCGCATCAAGGGTGCGGGGATATACACAGTCCTGACGTGTGTGTTGTGGTGGGCTACGTAATTCCGGAGATCGTGCCGTGTGTGCTGTTTCTTGTGCTGATGTGGGAGGTGGAACCGACGCTGGAGATCCCATCGAGACGTAGTTTGAGCTATACTAAGGGACGCGTGACGTCGGAGACGACGCCGTTGCTGGACAATGAAGCGATGCCTCCACCTCTGCTGGTAGCGGCCAAGGAATTCACAGACAGGATTGGCACGGCGTCGAAATCGGCGGTGACGCAGCCGAACTCACCACCTGGCTCCCAGAGTGGGTATTTTACGGTTGGTCGTCGACCAAGTCCACTGTCGTTAGGTCTTGGAAATGGCGTGTTAGGTCGAGCGAGACGACGACTGGAGCTTGTGGTACGACAGCATTTAGGAGGAGCCAGCAACGAGCAGCAGTCACTCGAAGGAACTTCTATTCTCGATCTTGCAAACAGCGCATACTTGCCTTTGGGATCGTTTGAATACGAGCGACAGGCAAAGCAGGTGACGAGTTCAGATGACCCATGGCGGTGGCCAGCGCAGTCTGCTTCCTCGACACCGTGTGCTTGGTTCTCATTCCAGTGTTTTAACTTGACTCTGCCATCAAAATCATCGGTGACGTCTTCATCGTTCGTGGTGCTTCATCTGATGAATGCCGAGACAGGCGCGGTGATAGCCGAGATAGGCCGCACAGAGATTTCTCACTCAGAAGACCCCTGTTTTCACATGATGCTGGCTGTCGACATGCGTGAACAAGATCTGCTGCGCGCATCGGTGTACTCGGTACGAAACCCAAACTCGCTACAGAACTTGGATAGCCAGTGGCTCGTTGGTGACCCACTTGTTCCGCTCTCATCGTTTATGACGGGTTCATTGCCTACAATCGGACGGGCAGCTATTTTCTCGCTGTATTCTCCTCTATCTCGAACGCGATCTTCGGGTGAAATCGTTATCCGATGTGAAGCAGAGGTGAAGGGTTTGCATGCTGGGATGTCGACTGACGGGCTTGAGCGCATCACTCGGTCGTTCATGTATATTGGAATTAAGAGTACGGACGCAGAGGATCACGATGACTCGGCGTATTCCGAGATAGCCCAGCAGATGATAAATCTTGCGTCCACCTCCCAACGCTCGCAGGGTAAAGTGCTGGTCGAAGAAGAGCTGATAGAAAGTGTGTATACGTGGGAAGTACCTTATCAACTGCTTCAATTGATACTATCGGACTTGCTGATGAAACTTGATTCACTCAAGCGTGAGATCGCGCTTGAGGATGGCGATGAAAGCTCTTCGTCGACTCCTTCCAGCCAGCTCTCAACTCCTAGTGTCGGTGGCTATTCAATGCCTTCAGTGATTACAACTCCACGAGCGCTTGGTACTGTGGAAGAACACGATACTAGCCAGACAATGCAGTCGTCGGAAGACTCGGAGTCGCTGAATTCGGTCACTCCAGGACTGAGCTCTTCGCTTACATTGGAGAATCGGGTCAGACCAGCAACTAGCATCGGGATGCTATCGGAAATGATTATTCAGATCCAAGATGATGCGATCGAGCGGAAAAAGAGAAAGTGGCGTCTGGATCTGGTGAAGACAATGGAGCAATACATCTCGGAGGTGGAAGATTCCATTTTGCGCTACGGGGCCACTCAACACGCAGGGCTCACTTTCAAGCCGAGTACCATGAAAGCAGACGCAGATCTGCGTTTCCTGGCGCTAAATCTCCACCAGCAGTTGCTGACAGTGGGCAATGCAGCTCCAACGTCTGAAAAGGATGTCCAGTACGGCGACCAATCAAGCGCAGCGCGCTATGCTCGCCTTGTGAACTCGTTTGTCGGGACTCTTCTGTCGTCACCGCTGCATCTATCGAGGAAGGCCAGCATGCGTGATCAACAGACTGACCTCGGTTCCGTGCTGTTCGTAGACGCTGATAAGAGCGACGAGAATGAAGTCGCATCGCCTTCGGCGTCGGAAGAGTCACCCCTTGAACCCGTGGAGGCCCTACGTCGGCGTGTGATTTCGTTTGATTCGGCAGAGACGATTGTCAACAAGAGGGCAGCGGGCCAGGATGTATCCGTCCCTTCGGAGCAGCGGAAGCTGGCAGAAACCATTGTTGCGATGGGGATCACGGAAGAAGAATTCCAGAGAATCTATGGGCTTGATGAGAATGTGGGTGTTTCTGATGCGATCGACATCGTCGCCAAGATAACCTTGAACGAGGCGGAATGTGAGGAAGTGAAACGTGCAGTGCCAAGCAGTTGGGGTGGCTCGTCGTACAGAGGCTCGATGCCCGATGTGGAGCTGAAGAAAGCGGCGATGACGATTGATACGAACGCTAGAAACCGTCCCCCCTTTTACAGACACAGGATGTACGGCACAACAACTGTTGGAGCCTTTGCAGCTCACGTGTACGGGTTTAAAAGTGGCGGAGTGCGACAGATGCGTGCCGAGTTGGAGAAACTTCACGCACGTTTGGTCAAAGAAGCACAGGCAAGCTCAGATCTTACAATGGACGCCTTGGAGCGCAAGTACAACGAACTTAAATGGGATGTGGAGCGCCGCCTTGAGGTGGCTTTCTGCCAGGCGATGAGCGCTCTTGTCACGTGCTTTCAGCAAACTCTCTACGTACATACGCACGACCATCGGGATTTTGGACCTCATCCGCTGAAGGCCTGCGGTATCGACTACCTAGAAATGCTTACGAGGGTTGGCTTTCTATTCTCTGCTGAGAGCTTGTTGTCGACGTATGGCAACGAGTTGGGAATGCTAGGTGACACAGAGGCTGCCGTCAAGGAGCTCGCACGAGTCCACGTCAAGTTGCGACCTGTTAAGTCGCCCCGTGCTGCTACCTTCCGTGTCTCCATCACTTCTGGACCATCAGGAATCGTGATTGAACTTCCTATCATTACGCGTCGGGCAAGTGAGTTTCCTGATCGCAGTATGCACCGTGTTCCAGGACAAGATGCTGTATCCGGGGCCATCTATTTACCGCTGTCAACCCCCGAACAGAAGATGCGCGCGAAATTTTTGTTCCAGAAGCCAATTCGGGTGATTCCCGTCATCTTCTCGCAGGGGCTGAATGAAATGCAGACGGTAGCCAACACTGTCGGCAAGGCCTCTCTACAGAAAGAGATCAATGCGGAGAACGTGGTGGAGCTGGAGTCATACGTCAAGAATTTTGCTGAATGGGTCACCAAGAAGCAGTGCCGCGAGACATCGATTCCAATCTACGATATGGAGGATCTCGATCGGATTCAGACGTCGCTGGTGGCTCTCAAACTTAGCATCCAACTTTCCGGTCGGTCCAAGCGCATGGCAATTCTCAGTTTGTCGTCAGCCATCGCTCGATCAGTTGGTGGCGGTCGAGTGACCATGTGCAAGTCCGCGAAGGATCGGACGTCCATGTCGATCACTCTTGAAGAAGCAAACTTACTTGTACGCTCGCACGGGCTTCTCGCTGATGATATGGAAACCTTCACCGATCTATTGAGGACATACGGAGTTCGACGCGAAAATGCGCGGAAAAATATCGGCAAAGCTCAGTATTGCTTCAGCGCATTGCAGAACTACATGCTGCCGCAGGATTATCAATGTCCGCCTGGCACAGGAGGTGGCAGTCGTGCGTATTCGTAGATCGAAATGAGGGAGGGATGGCGCACCTGAACCATCTCGTCGCTGGGTGGACTGTAATTTATGTTTTTGATTTTTTTTCATTTGACTAGACTAAAACGCTAGAACGAGTACTACAGACGACTGTGGGATGATATCAAGTGTTCAGTGGCGCGTCAGAATGTCCTGCATCGACATGGTTCGGGGCTGAGGGGGCTGGTGTGCACTGTCCTCTTGATAGACCTGCATTGCCGGTAGGACATTTTTGAAGCTGGTGAGGATGGAGGCGTCGACGAGTAGGTTCAGTGATGGAATGGGCGACGTCGTCGGTCTAGTTGTCTGCGTGGAGATCCGCGGGGCTGTCCAGGAGTTTGCTTTTAGATACGGCTTCATGCTCGAGAAGACGACGCGTGACTCCTTGTTAGGGCTCACACGCTGGACATCGAGGTTGAAGCTGTTGTGCACCGTGTGCGGTGGGGTTAATAATGGCGCTGCTGGAGTGTAGGGGGCAGGGAAGGATGCTGTGGGCTGAGCCACGAAGTCATTCTCGTCAGGCTCCGACATGCGTTCGTCATCATCGGAAATGGTCGTGGTGGCGTTGGAAAGCGTCGGGGACGAGCACCAAGTGCTTGTACGCACAGCAGACATCTTGGACGGTGCCGGTCCCTCCAGAGACGGTAGACACAGCTGTGGCATCTTCACTTGCAAAAGCCGTTTAGCACTCGCACCACGAAGACTGGGCGCGTTGGGGTGCAGAACTGCGGTTGGCAACGCCTCGCCTTCTTTCTCGAGCTTTCGTCGTAGGTTCTCCACGGCCTCCATGCGGATGCGCTCAACATTCTTCTCACTTCGGAATCCCAAGTACGGCCAGCGCCGGATGCCCAGTGAACGGCACACGCGGATGAGAGTGCGGCTACTGATCCCGAGGTCTTCCGCGGCTTTCTTTGCGGTGAAGGTGAAAAGGTCGGCAAGCACGTCGAAGGAAAGGGTCTTGATGCCGTGTCTTGTGTGGACGCGGACAACGTACGACGCGTAAGAAGCTGCAAGCGAGCTCTTGTGGCGCAGCATGGCAGGAAAAGCTGCTGCTGCTGGTGGTGCAATGATGTGCACGGAAGGTAACGGGCTGGTCATAGTCGAAATGATGATTCCAGGTGTTGTTTGGTGGACTCGAGGCTGAGTGGGTGGGTGGAAGCTCGGTGTCGACCGAAAAATCAGTTACCAGAGACCGTGGGGCTGGCGTTGACTTGGTTTTGATCTGCCACGGCAAATTTGATAGTGATACTGGAGGCCACTTGGCCAGATTTTGTGGAGGGTCTAAGAACGGTGGCGACATGCGTTGGAAAGACCCGGTGGTGAAAGAAGAACTACGTTTGACGTGGCCAGCGTAGCGGTGAGCGGTAACCGTACACGTCTACGGCTACTTTTCCATTATTTTGCGTCTTTCCAGCTCCTTGCAACCTGGTTTGTCCTGCAAACTGTGCCCTAACTGAGTGACTCACGCGACGGTTTTAGCACTTTCGTTTTTCGACGGAACTTGCGCGCAACTGCGACCGCCATGTCGTAGCACTGAAATGCTGCCAGTGGAGCGCTCTCTTGTCAAACCGATCGGAAGCGGTCTAATTTGCGTTGGGGAAGGGGTCTGCAACAAGGGGTCTGCACGCACTGCACTTTGCGAAATCGGACAGACAGACACGTTGTGTACTGAACGCTGGAATTGCGTACCACTCGACTACCCAAAGGACACTTCAACACAGGCTGGATGGCAAGTAGCAGCGGAACTTCCGCCGGGAGGCCTTTCCCCTGAGCAAGCGTTTGATCGCCCCGACCACGCGATATCTAAAACCGACAGAGCTGATTCAAATATGTGAATCTAAAGTTCACTTTGTGCTTCACAACTTGTGTGGCTTCGTAGTAGTATCGTGACAGTGTCCAAGTGACGATCACTATCTATCGGTCGGGTCACTCGTGACGAACTTGAGACGTGGAAAGGCAACTGCAGGACGCTCAATGCTTCGGCAGGATAGTTCAGTCCAGCAAGCTAAAACTTAAGTGCTGGCGGACCAAACCTACTTAACAAGGACAGGAGGTCTTACATTTTCGACAAAAGAAATTGAGTGGTGTTGTCGCCAGTCGATAGGTCGCCACGCTGACAGAACCGTCAAGAACTGTACACCGTCATGGCAAATGTGCTCTCTCGATTGTCGTCCGCTTTCGCAATTGACTACCAACGGAAAATTCTCCCAATACAACTTGGCCATGGCGATCACGTGAAAAAAAAACTGCTTTCGAACCGCGTGTTATTTCCCCCCCCCAAGGCTCTCTTAGTCGTACTGACATACCTAGGCCCCATGCGGTTCGCTTGCTTTCGTCAACGACGCCCACCATCACACGTTGGTCAGTCGCTCTTGACTGCGCACAGGCTCGAACCAGCAGCAGCAGGGAGAGAATAGGACAATTTGTTATCTCCGTCGACTCCTTAAACGCGGACCTGGACTGCTTTCATCGACAAGAAGAATACGGCGCTGCCCCCCCCCCTTCTTGTTAGCAAAAGAAGACACAAAACGACGTTCTGCAGCTAGACCTCTCTTCATTAATTACTTTCGTACACTTTCTGCCACTAGAGAGCTCCCAGGCCGACACCTTCGAACCCGCCGCTGGTGATCTCCATGGCCTCCGCCGCCGCTGACTCATCGAGCGCACGTCGAATGGCTGACGACGTGCTGCTCTTCTGCTTCTGAATCTTGGGCGACTTCGCTGGCCGCGTCACGTTCTACCAGCAGCAAACACAACCGTCAAAAACCGAAACTTAAAATGGAGTCTTCGTGTACATCTGTGATCGCGTACTGTACTGACGCCCAGCTTCTTGCACAACGCCTCAGCCTCCGCCCACTTGAGCACGCCGTATTCGAGGCACCACTTCTGAGCCATGCGACTGTCCGGACGCTGCTGCAGCAGGCTCTCGTAAAAGACTCGGTCCGCAAAGCCTGGCGACGGCGTCGGGTGCTTCTGGCCGGGCTTGCGGTTGGCCTCCTGCTCCTTGGACCACTCCTCCTCTTCTATCATCTTATGAAAATGTAGAAGATGTTTTTTTACGCAGCCTATTGTGTGTGTACACCTAAAAAAGAAATTGAGTGTACAATGGACACTCAATTTTTAAGTGCTACAGTTATTTATAATTTAATAAATGAAAACAAAACCTTGGACCTTTGATAAACTTCCAGATGCGATGATCCTGAATCCAAATAAACTTTAACCCTTTAACTACTGGTTCATTTACGGGTCCCTATTATCCCATAACAGACGGTAATCTAAGCCGCGTATTGGCTGAAAATCTGTCCAGTTGCGCGACAGGCGATCGTGCGTCGCCGTAGAGGTTCATACAGACCTCTTCCACGAGCTAGCCAGGCCATCAAATTCTGTCCGCTTTGGACCACAAGCAGCGATACAAGCGTCACAAAGGTTCTCCTTCCCTCGACCACGGGAACAATGGACAGCGCTTTGGCCGGAGATTGGGAAGCACTGGAGCATCAGCAAGCGTACTGCATTGATGACATTGCGGTGGACTCCCTCGTCGACGCGTGGGAAACGCTAGTGGACGACGAGCTGCACATCGAGCCCGTCGACTTGCCGGACGCCACGAGTGTACTCACGACGAATGGCTACCAGCGGCTTCCTGAAGATAGCCTTCAACCTTTAAGCCCAACACATCAACACGCCAGCACATCCAGCAGATGCCAAGACGGACCTCGCAGTAGCAGCATGCAGTGGCTTCACCAGTCGACAAGCAGCCCCAAAGTCAGCTCGCAGCAGGGCGAAACAAGCGGAGAGCAGCAGCAGATACCGGCGGAGACAGCCTGTAGCAGTGTGCCAAGCATCTATGAGCCTAGTGGTTATGGCAGAGTCTACATGCATGCACTGGACATGCAGAGTGGGCTCCATGTCGTTGCTGACGCAAAGGTGGCAAAAGCCTACCGTGAAAACGCTGAATTCGGATTGTTTGCCCTATTTGTGACGGCAACGTTTCGCCACAGTCTCCTGACATGGACTTCGGATGTTCTTACTGCTAGAGGCCAGCCCAAACTTACTGAGAGTGAATTCAATGCATATTGCGGGCTTGAAATCGCAATGAGTATTTGTTCGCTGAGTGATATTGCTGAGTATTGGTCTGACAGTCGTTTTCTTGGTCAAGCTGCCTTTATAGATACTATGACGAGGACAAGATTTCAGAATATACGATCCGCGTTACAGTTTCACCCTCCTAACGACCCGACACTCGATAAGCAACATGATCCATTGTGGCACAGCAGGCTGATACTGGCACACTTTCAAAAACGATTCGCCGAGTTTGCTGTGCCTACTGTAGTGAGCAGCATTGATGAAATGACGGTGGCGACCAAGGCAAGGTCGAAAGCCCGGACTTATATGCCGTCCAAGCCCGACAAGTACGGAGTGCGTTTCTACGCAGTGGTCGGTTGGGACTCGCTTTACGTGCATACGTTCTGGGACAACTCCTCGGACAATTCACAGACAACTACGCCAGCATAGCGATACGTTCAGCAGTTTCCATCACTTCGCACGCCGCTTTTCAACACGCTGCATCGCGATGAAGTTGCCGTGGGAGCTGATTCAGCGACGGCGTTGTGGCTAGCAATGGTGGGGCATCAGGCAAAGATTTTCCTATCGCCAAGTGGTTATCGGCTTATAGTTTCGGACAACTTTTATACTCGACACACGTTTGCTAAAGCTATCCTTGCGTTCACGGATGGCGAGATGCACACGATCGGGACCGTCAGGCTCAACCTAATCGACAAGTGGAACAAAATAGCTGTGGAGGCTTCTGTGGAGCGAGTGGCAAAAGCAGATAGAGGAGAATGGGAACTTGTAGCGGCAGTCGATGCAGAGTCTGGCTGGAAGAAAAAAGAAGCAGCTCATCAGAAAACCCAGAGAAATTTGCCAGCAGCACGCCAAACAAAGTACCAACCAACTTTGCAGTTTGCGGACCGAGCTGGATATGTTGTATACAAAGATCGCAAGGTGGTAGTCTTCTACAGTAACGACCTACACGCAACACCATCGGCTCGGGCACTATTTGGTACTTCTGATGAGGCGATAGCTTGCTGCCACGGCCTGTATCCCATTCAGCGATGGACCGACGACCGTGTACTGCACCGTAAAATATTCATGGCCCCCACTATCATTGCCGTTTACAATCGGTACATGAACGGCTTTGACCGTGTCGATCAATTGCGCTCAACGAATCCAAACAGACGCCGCGAGAAGAGGCTTGACATGACGTTATTTACGTGGCTGCTACAATCAATGCTTTTGCGCTTTTGAAGCGTACGACAGCGACAGCCTTGACACTACGCGAGTTCAAAAGAAGAATTGCGGATGTGGTGAAGTGCTTTCTCAGAAATAAGAGAATGGGCCTGACGCGGGGTCACTATCCCGAATCAGTGACAATTTCAAGTGATTAGAGAGGATTTGGGTTGGTGGCACGGATGCAAGTTGCCGGTGGTGGATTAGCCATGACGAGCAGCACCCCGTATGAAATGACGATGGATCTGGTATGAGCGATGTACGAGAAGGCAAGATCCACCAAGACTTACCTCGGATCCACCCTTATCTGGATTCACTTAAATGGATATGGGATATACTATACAAGAGTGGATCGGGTGTGGATCCTATGAAGGAAGGATGGTCGGTGCCCTCTAAAGATGGATCTAGTAGCCACGGCTAATGAGGAGTCAAGATCCACCGCGAGGTACCCCGGATCCCATACTTCCGAGTTCGGGTCCAAGGAGGGAGGATCCCGCATAGAAGGACCTGGATCCAGGGTACAGGGATGAGGGATGCAGTGGATCTGGAACTTTCGTGGGACAATGGAGATCACAGACGGTTGCAAGATGATGTTGGATGATCGGAGAGCTCGGATCCACGGCGATTGTACAATTACAGTGAGGTGGATCCAAGCGACCTGGATCCGGATGAGTGTACCCATAATAGGGTGACCATGATGATTACGTCATGGATCCGGTGGATCTGAAGATAACACAGCTGGGATGATGGGTCAAGGGAAGAAGGGACATGCAGCCGAGCCTGGTAAGGGATTTAGCAGATGAAAGACATAGAAGGTAGAAAACCAGGCAGGTATAGGCTTAAATATCAATACAGTCCTCAATTTGCACTGTGGAGGGCAAGTGACCTGTAGTCGTCTCGGGGGTTGGATTTGGCCTCGGGCGATCGCCGTAATAGGAGTGAGCATTGGCCCTGGACAAGGACAGCGTCTACTTCGCCCGCCAAGCATCAGGTCTCATTATGGAGTAATCAAGATCACGAACTAGAGAACAAGTGGGCACGGAATCGTAACGGGATCATCAAGTAAAGATCAACTACGTATAGCGTTTCGACGGGGATTGGATTTGGCCTCGCAGAACATTCGTAGCGGAGATGAGCATTGGCACGGACAAGTTTCGTGTATACTTCGTCCCTAGGGACTAACTCAATAAATAAAATCCTCAATTTGCACAGTAACACGCAAGTGCCTTCCCGCCCTCAAGAACCGGAACTACATTGGCCGTACGAGCTCCGTGAAGGTTAGGAATTGCGAATCTAGTGTTGGTAGCGATAACTGGATAATACATTGGCCAGATCCTACAACCTAGTGAGCTTTCCTATACACGTGCAGATCCAACAGGTTAACCGAATTACTACTTGGTCGGTTACACCCTAGAGGTTCTCAACTCTCAAAATCCCGTCACAGGAGGCGGCAAGTACGACGCAAAGGAACTACAAAGGCAAGGGAACACACCCGCAAGGCAACCCTACGGCCAGATCCACGATCTAGGCCCCGGATCCATAAGCTCGAATATTCGCTTAGGATTCGGAACAATCCACGGACGCAGAGTGAAGATTTTCCACTGCTGCTCCACCCCATCCCCACGTCTCGCCAAGGCACTCAAGCTTCACCACTTGAACTCTTCGGAAGTTACCGAGAGAGCAAGATCCCGCCCTACCGACGGGTACACAAGGTGAGGAAAGTTCAGCAGAACACGGATCATCGGGGGACCCCCTCCGTTAGTCGGTGTCTGGGCGCAGTTGGTAAGTTGGATCTGGCAATCTCGCAGATTTTGCTGATCCCGCTACACCACAATGGTGCGCGTGCCCGGATCTTTTGGTGACTCGGGATTTCACCGTGAGTCCCAAGAAGATGCTCAAGTGAAGATTGAGCCAGGGGAAGAGGCGTCGTCGGAAGTCGGATCGACGAAGACGCTGCTGAATGAAACAAGATCCGCGGATCGATGGAGATTTGGGAGGAACTCTGTCGACGGAAGAGAGGTGGATCCGGAACCGGATCTAGAAGAAAAACCTCTCTATCCTCCCCAGGTACCCTCGGGGACCCCTGCGGATCTTGACTTGCGTCAAGATCCACTAACAAAACAAGGGAAAGTGAAGGCGAAACGGTATGCATTTGCAGATTCACCGGTTAAGCCAACACTGTACCTAAATTCAACCCCGCTAGTCGAAGAAACGAGAAAAAAGACGAAAACGAGTAAGACTACGCGGAAGAAGATGCAAGCTCCAGAGTCGGAAGAAGACCAAGCTGGATCCAGGTCAGGCTGGTCAGACAAGGATCTCGAGTTTGTGTATCGCCACCAAGCTTTACGCGACTTCCTGCATCAAGATCCTGTCATGCAGATCCTGAATCCACGACAGATCGAAGATCCAAGAGAACCGGTGAGAGCACCAACGAAAACGGCGAACAAGTTGGCGGCAGTCAAGGATCTATTACGTTTGCTTACGGAGTCAGGCATCGTAGCTGGTGTGCTCGACGCAGAGGATATCTTCGAGCTAGACCTGGATCTCATAGTATCCGCGACGCGGGACCTCTTTGCCAGAGTTAAGTCCATCACCGGAGAAAGGTCGCGCACTATGGATCCGGTGTCGTCGCCGAGGATCAGCCAAGCTGCGTCCTCGAACTACGAATCCGCCGCTGAGGATGAGTCAGACACGTCGTCCGAACCACGACGCATGACTTTAGGACCCTCCGGGGCATCCATGCT